GGCATTTTTTACCATTTTCTCTCTGTCTGACTGCCCTCTTGTGGATGGCCCACAATATCACCTCACTGACAGACGAGATGAAATGCCTCTTTTTAAATGACGATAGAGATCTCATCATAGAGGCTCACTACACGTCCAAATTGAGAGCAACACGACAAGACTAGAACACCTCCTTTACAATCTTTAAGATCCTGTAGAACCAGCACAATACCAGTGTTTGATACTTTTATACATCGACGAAAAGCTAGGTTTAAAACTTTCGTTATTTCAGCTCTAATTGCTTAGTTTCATACTGATAAATGTTGAAACTGCCATTTACACTGAACATTTTGGGTCATGGTAGATGAAGTAAAACTAGATTTCTGTGAAGATGCCTTTTAACTCCTCACTGGTCAGGAACAGCTATCACAGGTCAACGAATACTTGAATGGAATTTTTTGTTTTGTTTTAAAGGACAATATATTCTATAAAAGGGGCTCAAGTCAGTCACCTCAATTTCCCAGCAACCCCCTTTTAAGACTAAGTGCTTTCAAGACAAGGGGAACATAAAAACGTGTTATAGAATGACATAGTTGTCTTTTTATCATGTTACAGTAAAAATAATACAGTGTTGCATATCTAAGCTGCAAGAATGCATTGGAAGCCCCAATCATTGAAGCCCTAAATAGTAACCGTTTTAGCATCCAGAAAAGCTGATCAACTACCATATCTAAATAACTCACATTTCTATGAAGATTAGCATTAAAATACTAATGAAATCTTTAGTTGTACTATGAAAAAAATGAAGGAATGATTTAGTAAGATCTGGGGTTTTCAAATGAGGGAGTGTATTACGGGAGCAGCTAGTGTTTGGATCCATAAATTGCCTTCTTTTTTAGCACTATACTGTGCTTATAGCTCTGTTAGGTCATACCTAACTCAAGACTATCTCTTAGCATGTATCTGTTACAGTGTGTCATATTATTCCGGTGTTGTTTTTATTATTTTCAGAGTTTAATTCATACTACAAGTATTCAGCTGTGGAAATGTTGCAGTGTACTGAGTCTAACACTCCAGTGGATTAACTATATATGTATTCATGTTGATATATGAACCCGTCCTGTTTTTTTTTTCTTCTGAGAATGAGATTATTTTTGCAAGTTGTGTGTTCTAACAAATGTCAACAAGGCTGAATGTTGAAACAAATGCTGCTTTTGAAAGTAACCAATAAAGTAATCTCTGTGCTAAATATTTGTTCGATTAAGTATTTATATTGGTTTAAATGTGAAGCAACATTGTAACTGCAACATTTTAAGATCTTAAAGTAGCATAAAATAGTCCCATGTTAGGCTGTAGCCCACAAGTAATGAAGATAAGGAACTGAAAACTCCATTAAAATGGTGGTTTATGAAACTTCTGGAATCACAAAATTAATTGTGGTTCATTTATGTACCTATAGCACTACTGGTTCCTAATATATATATATATATATATATATATATATATATATACTATAATATATATATTATATAAAGTTGTTAATATTGTATAGGGGTCCTTTAGACTATCGTTTTAGACATTGGGGCGGCTTTTGAGTAAAAAAACGTTGAGAACCACAACATACAAAGGAAGTTATTCGTATATTAATATCAGTGTATCTCTTATGTGCCAACTACTGTTGGTTGTATTTAGTCCTCCTTTCCTAAAGTGTCATTTTACTCGACCTGATAAGATTGATAAAGTACCCTATTTACATTTTTAAAGACATTCCTTCCTGAACAGACACGATTTATATTCAAAACACTTTTTCAAAATTTCAGTTGCAGCACAAGATAAATGGTGGTAAAAACATTTTATTCCAGAATGCATGCTTTTTCTTTCCTCAAAATGTACTTCATAATAAAATACAACCCCAAATGTCCCAGAATCAGGGAGTTTTGAGTGTCAACAGTTTACAAAACAAAAACCTAAAACAATAAAAGGAAGCTGAACAGCTCCTTTATAGAAGCCATATCTGTACAATCTGTTGGATTTTATGAGAGATTTCTATGAAACATTTAATAGCATCTTTGAAATCATATTTGCATTTCTAATTGACCCAGATGTTTTTGTTTCTTTCCATCCATCATCACCATAGTCTTTCAAAAGTGTCATTAATGACAATTATGATAATGTAAAATAAATCATATATTGTTACTTCCTACCTACACTGTTATCATAATGACTCATGTTTTATAAAACTATATCATAACAAATAAGCTGCATGGATTTGACCAATCTCACAAACATCTATTTTACACACACACACAGACATATATTTTTTTAAAAGAGCAGATTGGTCTTTGCAAGAAGCAGTCCAAGACAATCTGACTCAAATAGATGCTTGTATCCCTGTCAAGCTAGTCTTCCTCATCATCATCATCATCACCAAAAGACAGCAGGCTGTTGTTCTTCACCTTCACACCAGCTTTTGACTCTTTCTTCTCACCATCCTCACTTTTCTTCTTCTTGCTAGAGCTAGCAGTAATGCCTTCGAATTTATCAGAGGAGCGTTTGACAGGCTTCTTAAAGACGATCTTCCCATCCGGTGGAGGCTGTTCATCTGGAGAAAATGAAAGCATTTACTTTAATGAATGACTTTATACTTGCTGAACACCAGAACATTAGGGAAGACTGGAGTGATTTTTTACTTTTTCTGTCATAACTCGGACTACTAAAAAAATCGACCTGCCATCCTTTGCTACAAGAAACATTTATATGTGTCAAAACTAAATCGGTCACCAACAGATTTAGAAATAGTATTACATTTAAAAAGGCAGATATAATCAGAAGTTAAATATTATATATTTATAATATTAAATAGGGATACAAAACACTTCAGTCTATCAATGTAGTCTTTACTACAGTTAGTCTACAATGGAAACAGACTCTTATTTCATAACTTTTGAGAACAGCCACTAAGCAGTTTAAATACTCAAAATGAGTGCAATTTCACAGCAAGACCAGAAAGATTGCATAATTATCATCTTTTCATTGCTACGCAAGTATTACCAAGTCCCTCACCAACCACATTCAGAGCAACAGTCACCAAATGTGCAGGACCAAAATATTTGATTAACTAAATACATATTAAGATTAAATACCAAAATATTTTAGTTTCATTAAAATTAAGCTTTTTATTAATATTATTTGTAACATCTTTTAATATGAATACTGTACCAATATTTATAGTATTCGATTTATGAAAGAACTAGTAATAAGTTATGAAATGTTTAAATAATAAATATTGCATTTTTATTCATGGAATGTTAAATATGTACCTTTAATTATTCTTTTGTGTAATTTCATTGAGATAATTATTGCATTTTGAGTATTTTGGTCCACCATCATATATGGGTCGATGAGAAGCTCAGAACTGCATGAAAGATATGGTTTGATCGCTATTTTTTGGGTCTCTGTGCATTACCTTTGTTTGAATCCTTTGTATCTTTTGTGATTTTCATAACCTCTTCAGCACTCAGATCTCCCTTTTTCAAGACCACGACCTGCGGCAGCTCGTCCTCCCGATCACTGTCACCACTGTCTTCATCTAACTGCGGCATCTGCTGCTTCTGCAACAACAACATTCATTTGGTATTCCATTTCCGACAACAAAAATGAATGCAATAAATGTTTCGTATGAAAACCTAGTGAGCTGCCTACAGACAACATTGTATAGACATGCGTTCAGGCAGCACTGTTTTACGCTGAGGCACGATTAAACACTTACTTTAGTCTCCACTGTCGGCCCTTCTTTAAAACCAACATCATTTTTGAATTTCTTCAGAAAAGATGGTTCGGCTGGCTTCACCCATGATACATTACCCTTTTTACTCATTGTGTTTCAGTTCAAATCAGTCTGATTAATTGTAAATGCGCTTACAAACACGAAACACTCAAGATCCAGGCGCGTGAAGTTTGCGTTCATGCAGCCTCATCAATACGCGTCTGTAAACGACCAATCAGCGCTTTCTCTGTTTCCTACATTGGGATCTAAATGTTACTTGCTAACAATTTGTCATTACAAGTTCTTTCCTCAAGAGGCGCTTGGTGGCTCAGAAAGCCGAAATCTCCACTGAGCTACGCTCATATCACAAAGTGTTTTTTTAGCTTATTGGAGACATTGGTACACTAATACGTGGAACGATGGATTTTAAATATATAGTTTTTTAATGGTTATTATAAGTTTTACAAGCTAAAAAAAAAAAAAATTCTTAAGCCATAATCACAAACAAACGGCTGTGATTATATCATTATGAAAAGCGTTGAGAAAAGTAACACTGCTCACATAAAGCCTACACATTCTTCAGCAGTGAAAATAATTTCCGCCCAAATAATTTCTCTTCAACATTAAAAAGCAATTAAACTGAAAATCGAGAGGCAACCTCCCGCTCTCTCTCGCGAAGCCAACAAGGAAGTGACTTAAACTGTAATTCATCGACTGGCCGCTAGAGGCTGGCTGCAAAAGGGAGTCAATCCCATAGACTCCCCATGTTAAAATGGCCAACTTTACAGCAGAAAAAAAACGTTTACAGCCTGGTTCAAAAAATGATTTTGGTCTATATAGCTAATTTTGCCCTTCATGACAACTGTGAGGGGGGTGAATTTTTTTATAACTCATCCGTTTAAATTATATTAAGCCTTAAATTTCTGCATAATTAAGGGCGTGGCCACTTGAGTGATAGGCGGATTGCCGCTGCTGTCACCGCCGTCGCGCTAGGTGGGCGTGGTTTCAGCATCTGCATAATTAAGGGTGTGGCCACTTGAGTGACAGGTGGATTGCCGCTGCAGTCACCACCGTCGCGCTAGGTGGGTGTGGTTTCAGCAGCCAGCACCCACCTCTTTACCCATTTTCGATTATCCAGGAGTGACGCGCGGTGACGCACTGCCAAGATGGCGACGGCTGGCTCCGCCTACTTTAGGCTTCAAAATGCTTGTCGGAAGTCTACGGGTTACGTCACGGACACTACGTACATGTTTTTATACAGTCTATGCTGAAAATACATGATATACATATTTGAAATACGACATTCTTGTTTAGAACTAGCAACAACGCAAGCTCAAGTCCCGCCCATTTAATGACTACCGTGTTTTTAATGCTGGCTGTCTCTCTTTACCTGAGTGATTTATTTCTGTGATGCACAGTATAGGAAGTTTCATTATCATTTTATGTATTAAAATGCAAAATATGGCGGTAAAATAATACTGTTATCCCAGTCGAGTCTGAGTGACTCAGTCGGACCGAGCTGGAATTATGTTGCCTGGCGTGTTTTATGCCTTAATGGCGGGGTTTCTAGCAGCTTTAGCATCATCTTCTGCTAAGTTGTCCCTGGGTGCTGTTTATCTGAAAGATGTGTGTGAAACAGGGCTGAAGATCTGGACAGATGGGCAGGAGAACACTGATGGATTTGATACCACAGCTTGTGACTGGGTGAGAAGTGTTCTATATATGCAACTATAGGAAGTTTCATTATCATTTTATGTATTAAAATGCAAAATATGGCGGTAAAATAATACTGTTATCACAGTCGAGTCTGAGTGACTCAGTCGGACCGAGCTGGAATTATGTTGCCTGGCGTGTTTTATGCCTTAATGGCGGGGTTTCTAGCAGCTTTAGCATCATCTTCTGCTAAGTTGTCCCTGGGTGCTGTTTATCTTAAAGATATGTGTGAAACAGGGCTGAAGATCTGGACAGATGGACAGGAGAACACTGATGGAGTTGATACCACAGCTTGTGACTGGGTAAGAAGTGTTCTATATATGCAACTATGTTTAAATTAACATAATGTCATTGTAATGAACACGATGTCATTGATTACAGTTACATATACCCCTGCGGCTGCTTTGTGGTGGTCTTCTGTTCACCTGCAATGCTGTGATGTGGACCTTCTTCGCCAAAGCACTCAGGCACTCGTCTTCCTCTGCCCGGGCCACTGTGACCACCACTGCCTCAAATTTTATCTCCTCTGTGAGTCCCCCCTCCCCCCTCAAACCCTCAAATTCATTTGAGAAAGCAGTTATTTAATGATTTAATATGGTCTTTTTTCCAGGCTTTTCTTGGACATGTGATCTTTGGTGAAACTCATGCCACGCTGTGGTGGGTTGGTATCATTTTGACCCTGACAGGGCTTTACGTCTTGCATGGATCAACTCCTCAGGCTCCACAGGAAAATGTGGATAAGAAATATGATTGACAGAATAATACAGGGAGCAACAATTCCTTATCCAATGCTTGAAGTGAAATCAGTCAAGTGAAAGGCCGTGAAAGAGCTAATAAGAATTATGCAGTTGTATGATAGAATTATCTATGCTAAATTTAAATATTTTTTCTGTCGTAGGATTGCTTTTGTTGTTAATAATGTGAAAAATTACATGATGCAGCCTTGAAATGTGTATGACTTTGAGCCTATAGTTATGCAATGGACTTGCTCTATATCTTGCCTCAATCATGTGGGTTACTTACAAGTTTTTTAATAAATCAGTTTACACTCTTGTTTATTACTATGACCTGAAATATGTTTATGACATATACATGCTTTGCTGGAAATTTTTACCAGATGCAGCTGTGGATCTGAAATGAAATTTTGTTTCACCTCTCAACTTTCTCTGAAACATCCTTTTTCAATTCCAAGTCTTCCAAAGTAAAACTTGAACTAGCACTCCAGACAGAACAATGTAGTCAAAAGGATGCACACACTGATAGTGTTTAAATGTTTTTGGTTATTAAATGACTATTGTGTGTCAAACCACTGACCTGGACTCTATTTTAAAGGGAAACTCAACCACAAAAGCAGCATCTATTGAGCACAGCAGGACATTGTCATGTATTCTACTCAGAAATCACATCTGAAAGTTGACCTGGCACTACGCAGGTGTATAATAGCCCACCTGCAACCATACACTTTTATTCAAACAACAATGGACTTGTAAAACCAGCACATTTATCTGAAGAAGCTTAAATCGAAAGTGTGCAGCCACTGGAAACATCAGATAATGGAAAAAATCCAGAACATAACAAATAACAATAATGTAGCCAGTAATGGAAAGATGTACAGTTAGTAAGGCCATAAATACAATAAAAAGAAAGAACAATGCCATAGAACAACAAAATTGTAAAATATCAGTAAAATCCTGGGATGATACAGTAAGTCTTACATGCATTTTTGCTAATTATGGAAAAGGCACGAAGGGTCTATAAATGAGCACCATGTTTTTATATTGTCAGATTCTGCACCTGAATTTGTATTTTCATTGGTTTGCAGCCATTTCATTAGTGTTTCAATGCCAGGCGATTTAAAAAAAAAAAATCTTGTGATATAGTAAGGCATTTCATACATATACAGTACACAACTATTTAACTGCAATGATGCATCTTTATAGTGTCCTATAGGAAATAATTCACTTACAGCTACTTAATACAGTATTATTAATATCCTAGGTCTTATAAAACATATAGATACACAAAACTAAAAGACATCACTGCTCCAGGAACAGCTGGCATTATGAAGTACATGTTATGTGACACTGTCAGGAGCTCAATCTCTCTATGCACCGTATAAGTTTCTCTTTAAAAGAGCTAGCTGTATTTTTGGTTTTAAATACTGCTTTAAGGCACTTTGGTACAGTAGTACGTAAATGTTTTTTGCATAGGTAAAAAAAAAAAAAAAACAGTCCATATTGTATTTTTGGTTTTAAATACTGCTTTAAGGCACTTTGGTACAGTAGTACGTAAATGTTTTTTGCATAGGTAAAAAAAAAAAAAAACAGTCCATATTCAAATGTCCACAGTAGTCTCTTTGCAAGTCCAAGGCAGGAAATGTGCCATTTGAGTCTCAGGGTTTTTGATCTAATGAGGCTCCAAAGGAATCTCAATCACATCCTCCTCAATGATTTCACCCTGTGGGAACATGGGAACAGGATCCAAAGTATCTTTCTGGCATGAGAGATCTGTGAAAGGCCTCAACCAGGCAATAGAAAGAGCACCTCCGAACGCTGACTTCATAGCTTCCCAGGATGGAGTCTTCTCCCACGTATGGTCTTCACTCTTCAACTTTTCAATGCCCTGAAAAAAAGAAAAACAACACCGCTGTGATTCTTGAGAGATATGAAATAATAGACTCCATAAATAGATGGAAAACAACATCCATATTGGCAAAAAAATAACTTAAAGCTGCAGTCCATAAGTTTTGCCTCTTTGTCGCCATCTCTTTGTCATCTGAACAAGTAAGTAACAAGTCTGCCACGTTTGTTCTGACCAACTGAGGAAAAAAGCATTACAATAAATCGTGCTACCAATGGTGATTTAATCTAATCAATCTAATGATTGATTAGATCAAACTTCAATCTAATGATTGATTAGTTCATATCACATCAAACCGTGAAAATTATTATGTTATACTTTATTTTCAGATTATTAATGTTAACAACATCAGCATTGCGTGACTATGACTATAGTGTGTGTGTAGATTTCAATTTCTGTACAGTCTAATCTCTAATTGATATACCATTCGAATTTCACATTAAGAAATCCTTTTAACCCAAAAAGCAAAATATGCTCCCTTCGAACTGGTTGTCTTTAAAATACAAATCTTGTGTAATCCCAGGCTATCTGTAATCAGAGGCACATTTAAAACTGGAATATAATTAATTTCATTCACATTTGTTTCATATAATCCTTTCTGGATTACAATCCGCCATCAGAATGATTTTTTGGCATTTAATTATTCTAGTTGCTGTGAGAAAAGGCTTTAAACGATCCGCCACCTGCAGGATCCTCACATGCGATAGCCTAGTTGCCGGGACAGGTTCTTTATGTTTACAGACGTGACGTAATGACACAGCAGCATGCTCGAATTTCCCGCGAAAACCTACCCGTACCACTCAAATTAGAAAACATTATAAGCTAACCGTTGTGAATCGGGCTAAAGTAAGGCGATAGTTTTGAACACTGGCTGGTTATGTACTTGCTCAAATATTGATTTTGGATAATTTTTAACCAAAAAAAGTTACGGACTGCGGCTTTAAATTCCACTGATTGAACTGAAAAGGAAAGCAAAAGGCTACCATTCTAAAAAAAAAAAAAAAAGCATGGGGGGTCGATTAATTTTACTCATGCACCTGTGTGCTTCTGGTGTTTAATCTTTAATATGAAATAACCAGACTGGAAGAAATGGTTCGACTTTCACTTTATGGCACAAATTAAAAACACATGGAGCATGCAGCATGCCTTCACATTCCAAATGAGGTATCTAAAGGAAAAGAAAAACAGACCATCTTAAATAGCATGCATTGTACCGAATGAACAAATGTGTCTTTATACCGGTAGCAATCAAAGCTTACCTCAATCTCACACCAATGAAACAGGGACATCAGCCTAATTTAATACTAAATATACTGTAATTAGTTGCTTTTTCATTTTAAGTCCCAAAAAACGGAGCAAGGAAACTACTCATTAAACAACACAAAAGAATAAAAAAGGAGAAAACTAGGTTAGTGTCAAAGACAGACAGGAAGTGGACAGGAAGACAAAGAACCAAGCAAATTTGGAAACATTTGGACCTCTTGAGAGATTGCAACACAGTGATTTTGCAATGTGAATGGCATTTTAGCTGCTGATTTTCATGTCATTAGACTGGATTCACATATGTTTGTGCATTTAGGAGATGTACTGTCAGACACTTTGACACATTGTCACATAAAGCACTAATGACAGAGTGTTCCGGTTTTTAATGATTTACCATTTGTCAAAGAAGAACACAACGATTGTCTGTTTCATACACACCTAAAAGTTCAAGCACATATCATCCGTTCATCATAACAAAAATGTATATTAATAAAATGTAAAATGCAATTAACCAAAACAATGGCAACAATGGTAAATCAATAAAGTTTTCAAAAACATACAGTTTTTTTTAAGCCTGTTCCTTTCTTAAACATTTCTGCAAACCAAGTTTATGGAAACATACCAAGTAAATCAGCTCTAAAAAAAAGTACAGAGTGTATATTGAGTATAGGAAGTAAATCTGATAGGGCAGCTGAGTAACATCAGTACTGTTATCACTCAAAATCTTATGTGTAACAGCAAATGTACTCATAATATCTCAAAACACATTCTTTACATTTATAAAGTAATTATCATTTCAATTTATTTATTTTCAATGTTAAGAATCAGGGGTGTAGAAATGAGCTGACAATGCACTGATTATGGAAGTTAATAATAGATCAATTCTGTTCTATAATACTTGTGAATGTAAAACAGTGTATCGCTTTATCCATATTTGCCATTACTGTCTCTTTAATTACATTTCTGTTTATTACCATTTTTAAAAATAATCAAAGCAATTTATAATCAAATGTCACGACGGCATCATTTAGTATAGAATCACTTGAATCCAAGCTTTGTCAGAACATATTTACACCCGTTAAACTTACTATATTGTTTATATACTTTTTATATTTTGTATACTGCCAGTGTCAAAAATGTTAAAGCCTGTTTACACCAAGAATGATAAATATAAGGATAACTATAACTATATGTCCTTAACAGCAGTGCTTATAAATGCTCGAGCATTCTGATTGGCTGCCACTGTTTTTAATAATTCATGAGCTGGAAAAAAATTGTTCTGAGATTGATTTCAATGACATTGTTCCTCAGTGTCGTTATTGTTAGAAAGTAGACGTAGTGTGGACTTCACTACTCTCCCATAATGATTTTTAGTTATCATTACAGTTGTCATCCTTGGTAAAAACTGCCCTTAAATGTTTTTTCGTCAGCATAATAAACCATTTTATTGAATGGTTGTCAGTGCTCTTATACTGTAGCTAGGTATATATATAAAAAAAATAACAACAGATTGTTTAAAAGTACCTTCAGAAAGTAGGTTATCATTGTGGACAGTCTGGCAAGATTACAATAGTGGTTATATTAGCATAAATTGGCTTCTATTATCTGCGCAACATTCATCTTCATTTCGGTGTAGCTAGGCAGAGATGCTTGAGATTATGCCATGATAAAGCATCCACTTTCTGTTCTGAATTAAAATAAATAGAGGCAAGGATAATTGGATATGCAATGATTTGTTCCCTGAAAAAAAAAAAGAAGATGAAGGTGATTTAGTCTCACTGGTAAATGCTCCGTTTGAGTCGGGATTACAAACAAATGAAAAGATGCTGTTTATAAAGACAGTCCAAGTGCACTCGAGTCTCTAGCTTAAAGCTTCCTGAGCTCAGACCACATACTGGTAGGGGTCAGCCTTCCCATGGTCAGGTGTGGAAAACGGGCTTAACCATGCTATCGAGAAGGGGTGTCCGAATACCGCCTTCATGTTCATCCATTTTGTTTTTTTAGCCCATCTTCTCTCTTCCTTTTTCAACTGCTCTATGCCCTAAAAACAAGAGATAACCGAGACTTCAGAGTGTGTGAATATTACAAAACAGAAGAGGAAAAGAACAACTGACCCATTCCATAAAACAAAGAACTTCATCCAAATGTTTATTTTAAATCAGTTTATATAGTGGTGTTCACAGTGAACAGTCATGTCACTATGCTTATGCTCATAATACAATACTAGCATACTGCTTAGTCCATTCAGTGCAGTATACACTGCATACTGCCCACTTAAAAAGATTGTCGAGTATAATGTATTATATAACGGTATGAATTTCAAACAGTAATGTGCTAACATGGTACTGTAACTGTTATTTAACAGATAACTGTTTTTTTAGGATTTTTAATCCAGGTATGTAAAAATGTCTTGACTCTCAATATTCCAATCAAATAAGGATTCAAGAAAGAGAGGTGATATTAGTTCAGGTTTATTCATCATACTGGAAGAATGTGTAAAACTGAGAGCATTTTATTTTGGGATGATGTGTTGCATGCAATATTCATCTTATTTTCATCATAATTTTACCCAAGGTTTTCTAAAAATACACTCTAAAAAAATGCTGGGTTGTTTCAACCCAACATTGGGTCAAATATGGACTAACCCAACTTTTGGGTTAAAAATGTAATGTAAAAATTTAACCCAACGGTTGGGTTAGTCCATATTTGACCCAAAGTTGGGTTGAAACAACCCAGCATTTTTTAGAGTGTATACATAAAATTAAAACACTTAATAATAATAATAATAAAAAATAATACTACTACTACTACTAATAATAATAATATGTATATAACTTTTTAAAATTTAACAAATTTAAATTTGCATACACACAATATACACTACCTTCAAAAGTTTGGGGTCAGTAAGATTTTATAATGTTCTTGAAAGAAAAGAACACTTATGCTCACTGAGGCTGCATTTATTTGATCAAAACTACAGTAATATAGTGGAAATATTACTACAACTTTAAAACGGTTTTTTATTTAAATTATTATTATTTTTTTTTAGTTTATAGTTTTTATATATTAAAATGTACTTTATTCCTGTGACTGTTACCCCAATCTTCAGTGTCACATGATCTTTTAGAAATCATTCTAATATACAGACTTGGTGCTCAAGAAGCATTTCTTCTTATTATCAATTGAAAACTATTGAGCTGCTTAATATTTTTGAGGAAACGAATTTTTCAGATTTCTCTGATGAATAGCAAGGCATCTTCCTCAGAACAAATTTCTGGCTGCATCTATAGAACAGGAATACGAGTGAATTGTGTTTCCAGGTCAGCTGTTCAAAGTTCACAAGACCATGTCTTATGAAATAAGTTGACCAAAGCACTGGATGTTTGGACTCATATGTCAAGTGTCACCAATTTACAGCATACTTTAATTATAACTTACAAGGTACGGTATGTGGCAAAAAAAAAAGAATGGATGTATGCTATTATTATTTGATACACAGTGACCTAGTTATACTTGTTGCATATGTGTTACATTTCACTTCAAGCACGATAGCATTTTTTGGTTAAACTGTCCACATGCATAAACCTAAAAATAACAATATCAGACCACATATCACACCACAAGCACTACCTCCACCACGTTCGCCCACTGCTGAAAGGAAGCGATCTCTTACCGTCTCATCTGTGCAGATGGAATGGATTTGAGTTCCAAACATCACAGAGGTGAAGATGAGGAAGAGGAGGCTCTCAAAGCACAGGAGGATGAGGAGGATGACAGTGGATGGAGGGGAGAAGGTGCTGCACTCTGGGGTCAGGAGGGGAGAGGGAACACATACAGCTATACAATATACCAACACAACTATAAAATCCAAGGTTCATCTAGTCTATGTATAATTATTTGTAACAAAGAAAAATAAAAAAAGAGGGTTTGTGTGTATGAATATCTGGCAACACATCTGTATGTGTATGTGCAAACTGGTACACAACAAGCTTAGAAAGCGTTGAAACACATCATCACGTGGGTTAAGAGGTTTGATCATTTCACCAAGCTTGGTTAGCAATATACCAGTGACCTATTTGAAAACACCATTGGTAACACTGTTTTTTTTGGGGGGATTGACATTTATATGCTACTGTTCAAATGTTTGGGGTCAGTAAGATTTGTTTCATATTTACGAAAGAAGTCTCATAATCAGCAAGATTGCATTTATTTGATCAAAAATACAATCGAGCAGTTGACGGTAGCCATTGACTTCTATTGTATGGAACAAAATACTATGGAAGTCAATGGCTACCATCAACTGTTTAGTTATAAGCATTATTCCAAATATCTTCTTTTGTGTTCAACAGAAGAAAGAAACTCATACAGGTTTGGGACAACTTGAGGGTAAGTTAAAGCATTTTGATTTTTGTTTCTGACTAAAACTATAAACTTCTTTCTTTAAAAAAATCTTACTAGCCCCAAACTTTTGAATGGTTGTGATGATGAAATTCATTCCAACACAGGCTTTTCTCTTCTAAATAACCTGCACTTTGAATATATTTGCCAGCCGCAAACACGGGTTGAAAAACGTATGCAAAGCTGATTTTATATAAAATGATCACTGGAGCTGTGGTAGGGAGATAAGAATGTCCTCCAACAGCTCGAGCTGTGGCCCTCATCTGAACAATGTGTGTTTGAATCGGCTTCTCCTTCTTCATTACCTGTCCACTTTTTGTACTAATAAAAAGGGCATTATATTACATTTACATAATACTGTTTGTCCATCATAAAAAAAGGTGTATAGCAGCAATTTTCTGTTCCCACACACATTAACTTCCACATGCGCACAGACAATGGTCTACTTTTATGACACTTTTATGGTGCTTTAGCGTGCTTTTTAGAGAATACAATAGTTACATTGTAATCAAATGGAAAAAATAGCCAGTGTATTCAATGTACTGGAAAGAAATACACGTTTGAAACGAAGCTCAGGAAAATGACAGAGTTTACATTTTCAGGTCGCTTTAAGAAGTACTTATCTGTATTTGCAAAGGTTGGAATGCTTTTTCCAGTAGATAACTTTCTAAATTGCATGCCTGCCATCTGACCTTGACATCTAGAGGTCACTGGGGTCAAGTTATCTATCTGGCTAACAATAAGTTGCTTTTCTTACTTACTTGTCCAGTCATCTTCAAAGCAGTAGAGAAAATGAAAGACCACCATGACCAAGGCATGCAGAGAGATCAGGGAAATGTACATCTGAAAAACACCAGCACCAACATTAGATGTTTGTCAGTGTTGGTTTCAAATAACCATAATGAAATAAAACGTACAATTAAATCCCTAATGAAAACATTACAATCAATTTAATATTAATGATACTTTCAAATTCAGAGGGAAGTAACTGAACTTTTCTCAGCAAGTCCAGAACTAGTTTCAGTGGCGTAGCGACTCAGCCCCGGGCCCATCTGCAAAAAAATGTTAGGTAACCCTAACCCTAACCCCCCGAAACGTTATGGGCTCCAACTCGGTTAACTTAACTTAGGCCCTATTGTTGATTTTTCTGAAGTAAATAACGTTAAGTGAATCATGACTATTCACAAGCTGTTTTATTTACGGTCTAGGCTAATGCTTGGAAATGATGTTTAAAGTTTTCAAGTCCATTCATTATTTGTAGCATGCAAGCCACCCAATAATCGCAGCTTTGTGCATTGTTACTACAAAGTCTCAATAACATACAAACAATAAATGTCTTTTTACGCTCTTTAATTTGTAGTGAGATAATTCGCCTCAGTTCAAGCTGCATATGATTCAATGATATTTTCCTCTTTAATATTTGCAGCATGAACTAAACATGAATATTTGAATGCATGTTGAAAAAAATCTGAACAATTTAATACAAACGAATGTCTCATGAATCGATCAATCAGAGTTTTAAAAAAAGTAAAACGAATGAAGGATGCCAGACTTTTTTTTGAGGAGTAGGCCTATAGGTGGAATTTTCACATTAACTTCACGCAATATAACATGATTTTATTATCGTAATTTTGACTTTATTATTAAAATATTATGATGTCAATCTTATTTATTTAGTTATTTTTAAACGTGGCCCAAAAATGCTGCCAGAGTTTTTGTTTTCGATTTGAATTATTTCGTTTTAAAATAGTAATTTAAAGCATTCTATAGATATATTTATCATGTCGTTGAAACACTCCTGCTCAAGACCAAGACGACAGAAAGCGCATCCTGTTTATTTTCCTTACTTTACAAAAGCACAAGGTTTTGTTGATATTGTGAGTGCACACAAATACAAGTAGACCCTTTGCAGTTCCGAATGATGTATACTCTTACCTTTATGAGCAAAAATGACGGCATATTTTTAAGTTCCAAATGCAAGTGATCGCACTGGCGCCTGCATGTCCTGCAAAGCGCACTTTAGCTTCCACTCTCTGCACAAACGATTGGATATGCACCTAACTGCGCTCATTTATCTAGGTTAAATGTTTAAATTAATACTGTGAAATGCATGAAGTGTTTTATGTCTGTTTATTTTAGGCAAATCGTGTTGGTTTGAGAAGGCTAAATTGATCAAACATAATGCTCAACTCACTGTCTGCCGCTGCCGCTTGGTCGTTCCTTTAAAAAAACAAAAACTTGAATTTAACAAACATAAAATGTTCCAAACGTATTTCTAAATTAACTTAATAAAGAAACAAAAAGAAATATGCCCACTTTGCCATTAAAAACCAAAACTGAACTATTTTAATAGCTGTGTAATGGGGAAGAGAGAGAGAAAAAAGTCATGGTATCCAGTCGGACTAGGGCCGAGAATTCTCATAAGCTGTTGGACAAGGGCCGGGCCCATGCAGGGCTCTATTCTTTCCCTCGTTTCAATTAAAAGTTCCCCCCAGCTCGGCGGGCCCCCAAACTGCCCGGGCCCATATGCAGACCAGACGCTAAGCCACTGACTAGTTTCATTAAAATGCAATGCTTACAACATGTGGCTAACACAACAATGCCTGTGGTATTTTTAGAAGTGCGCATGATGAGCTGTTTTAATACTTACTGTGAAAAGCACAAAGTACTTCTGGTTATTTTCCCCGACACAATTGTTTACCCAAGGGCAATGATGATCCATCTTCCGTATACAACGCTTACAAACACTAAAGTGAGTTTGAAAAGAGGGGTGGTGGAAAGAAAGAGATGAAAAGTCACCTTAACACTTCCAAACAACTGAAAGACTAACTTAAACAATGGTTTAAAGATAAGGCTTTAAAAAATATTCAGCTTCATGTACAGGGGTTGGAGAAAATAATGTGAACATCACCTATTATTACAGGGGTTAATAAAATGTGTGTAGGCTACAATGAAAACATTGCTATTATCTTTTATTTATCCTTTTTGTTGTCATATGCATATCAGTGTTGTATAAATTGTGTTCAGTTCAAGCCGTGGGGGAAATGGTAGACAAATCATAAGAGCCTGTGTAGCAGGAGCTTCTGTAAATTTATCAGCCCAATTGTTTGTTGTTTTATAGTGTTGTTTGGTTTTCCAGTCTTTATGATCATGACTGCATTCATAAAGCATGGGAAGACTTAATAACGAAGAAGAATAATGGGCGGAACCCGAAAGTGAATAATAGACTGTCAAACACGAAGGAGGATCCTGTCCAAACAACACAGAACAACTCCCACAAAGTGACAGCAAACCTCAATAGACTACAGAGAACTTCACAAAACCAGCATCCATGAAAGAGCTGCAACTGCTAAAACTTTAATCACAGACACAAATGCCAAAATCAGAAAAAAATGATGTCATTTATCACAAAACCTGGACAGCTGGAACACCCTGGCCAGCTCAATCACCCAACTTGAATATTATCAAACCACTGTGGGAAGTTTTGGAGACGCAGATTCCCTCCTTCACCATCTCTGAAACAACTGGCAGATGATGACAATCCATTGGAGACTATTCAGAAGTTGAATTAATCTATTCTAAGAAGGTTGGAAGTTGTATTAAAGGCAAATGGTGGTAAAACCATAATAATTAAATATTGCCTATTTCTTAGGTGTTCACATTATTTTGTGCAACCCCTGTATATACATACACACTAACTCAGAACATGACTATGTTGTAAGGAATGTGCTGTGCAAATGGTAATAAATAAATAGAACAGAATAGAAAGCATCTAAAATGATCACAATGGAGAAAAAAACATGGACAGTAATATAACCATGATGAATAGTGCTGCTAAAGTTACGCATCTACGTCTCCATATGCTCCTGTCTCACCTGCAGTGGTGAGCTCTATCCGGCTTAATACTGCAGCACTTGGGACATTTGTAAACCACCTGGCCTGGCTTCAGCTGCAAGCTCTCGATGTACTCCTTTGTGGCGTTGCCCTTTGGCACGGCTCCCTAAGAAAGCATCAGGCAACTTCAGCAACATTTTAATAGCAGTATGGGAAGCATTTATGACACCTTGCTGAAGATTTAGGGAAGAGTAGGGGGAAAAAATAACACTACTTTTCTTAAATTGCAAGCATGCTACAGTGATGACACTTATGCCCAATATTTTTATTTTTTGATACCTACTGAATTCAAATTAATGTCTATTTTATATCTAGGTTGTTGGATTATAGTTAACATTAATGGTGTTGCTAGTAGCTAAAATACAAGATTTTCTTGTATCTTGTGAAGATCTTGGCTGTGAGCTCAGGGGGTAATTATAACACTTTAAAATCTTTAAAATGAATATTGAACTAATATTATTGTTGTTATTATTATTATTATTAGTAGTAGTGTATATATATATATATATATATATATATGTGTGTGTGTGTGTGTGTGTGTGTGTATGCGTGTATGTATGTATGCATGCATGTATGTATAAATATATATAAATATATATATGAGATATAGTAAGTATAATAAGTAAGCATTACATACAATTCCTCTCATATACTGGTAGAAACCCCTCATAATGTGGGAAATCTTCTCCCCTACCCAGCAGACACAATGAAAGCATTGATTATTACAGGTAAAAACCCACCGGGTCAGTGCACATGGCTCTGAAATGAGATGCCAAGGCGAGGAAGGCCAGGCTGTTGAAGAGTGTGCCATTCACCAGGCTGTAGGTGAGGTTCTTCGATGGAATCAGCATGACGAACAGCACAACAAACTCAGCAAAGAAGACGAGAAGCCAGGTGATGATCGCACAAACTATGCCGCAGGCATCTTTGATGAACCACATGATATTCTGTCGCTCATGACAGGGAGGAAGACACTGTACAGGCTGCAGGCCACTGGCCTGCCTCTCGACGTCCCTGAAACGCGGCACTGGACTTCTCATCCTACCACAGAGATGGCATCCTGTCAGAAAATAATGGAAAAAGAGACAAAGATGGATAAAACTACCTCATTACATCACATAAGTTAGTGCACAGTCTATTTTGAGTTCACATAAAACCATGGTAAGCAGAACAAAGTATAGATTTTAGTATAGTATTTAGACAGTGGTTCTCAACTAAGAAGTTCCAAAAAGAAAGACTGGCATTTTTATTTAAGAATTAGAATTCGTATGGTCTTTGAAAACCTGGATATACATGGAAATTTTAAAAATGTTACTTCTAGACCTGGAAAAGTCATGGAAATTCATAAAATTCTAAAAGGCCATGGTCATTTTTAGTTATGTCAAGATATAAATTTATTTGTGAGTACAAAAGATCTTGAATTGTAACTATAAAATAAAATTATAATTAAAAAAACCCTGTAATTAAAAAAAGACTAGAAAGGTCATGTAAATAAATAGGTGTAAAAGTGTAAACTGTGGGGGCCTTGGAGTCAAAAATGTTGAGAACCACTGGTTTAGGAGACACAGAAGGTCATATTTAGTGGATGCAGCAGTATGGAAGCTGCGGTCTGACAGATAGTCACTTGAGCAGAACCAACAGTGTCACTAGAGGACACACTAGTTTCACTGTTTTTTTTGCTTTATGGCCCACAAATCAATACTACATCCAACTTGTATGCCTACTTATGGCATTCCTGTCTACTTGGGTCCATAATGAGACAGTCATGTATTGTTCAAGAGTGCCAGACAATATTTAGCAATAACATTACGTGTTGCAAAATGTGTAAAAAATTCTGGTTTGTTAAGTTCCCAAAATCTGGTCTGTAAAGTCAAAGCAGCAAAAACAGGACATAATATCACAAAGGCGTGAATTACGCCTTAACTGTGCCAAGATATCATCAATAACATTTAGTCATTTAGCAGACGCTTTTATTAAGCGATTTACAAATGAGGACAATAGAAGCAATCAAAACTAACAAAAGAGCAACAATATGTAAGTGCAAATGACAAGTCTCTGTTAGCCTAACGCAGTACATGTAGCAAGGTATTTTATATATATATACATACACACACACACACACACACACAAAGCAATTAGTTAGAATAGAAAAAATAGAACACTAGTGCAAAGAAAAACAAGTAGATAGAATAGAAAAATAGAAAGCTAGTGGGGTTTTTTAATTAAAAAAGAAGATAAAAAGATAAAGTTGAATTAATATAGAATAGAAAGTGCTAGAGTTAGAGGGTCAAATAGAGATGGAACAGATGTGTTTTTAGTCGTTTTTTGAAGATGGCTAAGGACAATAACACATACAACATCCAAGCAAACGCACCGTTTATCATATTATTACATCTCATGAAATAGAAAGTGTATGGCATAACAGTTCATAATAACGTGATTTTGACTGAATAACACCGAATTCAATAAGCCAGCTGTGTAAAGAAACCTGCGCTACCTGACCATGGCGATACTCACATATTTGGCGACACTGGTGGTGCTCCTCGCTTTTGCTCGCCCACTCAAGGCCGAGAAGATCCAAAAATCCATGGATCACGCTAACAGGGGAACATGTTTGAGCTTAGAGCTTTAACAAAAACTGTGGTTTACCCGATTATTGCACGGGAGCTGGTGAAAAGCTGCATTTTTGTGCGGAGCCAGCTGCTCCCTTCACTGGAGAAACTGATAGCCACACCTCCCTTTCACTAGATGGTTATATTTGTTTTAGCCTATACATTTATAGATAGATAGATAGATAGATAGATAGATAGATAGATATTATTATTAATATTACAAACATATTTAACATATATAGTCTTTAAAAACATATTTCAAAATTAGTTTTGCAAGATTCGTTATATTTAGATTTTTGTATTTTTATTTAGCAAAAAAGAGTACATTTTAGAACGGACTTTTATTGTGTGGTATGGCAGAAAATGTTAAGCGTCCCTTAAAATTTGCGCAAAAGAGCCCAACATGTGGGTTGCCAAGTTGCAAATGACCATTCAAGTTTAAACGAACAAGATATATTGTTTGACAAAACCATACGGATAATGTTATTTAATTTATTTCAAATTGTAATTTTATTTTATATTTGTATTTTGCATTATCTGCAGGAACAGCTCCTACAAAATAACAATGGTTAATGATTCGTGTTGTATATCACTGGGGCACAAATACAGAACCACTATGAACAGGTGTTTTTTTTTTCTTGTCCATAAACACACATTGTGTATTTAGGTATTTTCCTGACACCAAAAATTGTTTACACGTTTTAACCATATCCAGGGAAATTATTTTATCCGGACAACCTGGCAACCCACACAGACTCCAGTTCTCTGTTGGTGAGGTAATTTACAATGAAGGGACGATGGCTGCTTGCATCAGAATAATATGGATGAGAATGACCACCTTGACAGCAGCTATTCATGATGGTTCTGCTTTCCTGAACGCTTTCTTTGCCAAAACACACTAATCTCCCTGTTTCGTCCCATCTGTAAAGGCCAAGTGTTGTATTTGCCTCAGTCTGCTAGCCCCGTGCTATGATTCTATCCACATCAACTCTCTTTAATTGACCTGACCGGTGAGTAACTAAGATGGATATTCGCCGTTTCATAACGCATATAAGCTCTCTGAATGTAAACTAAAGCGAAGTAACCTCATTAGGCAACATATATGTTTAGTTAGCTGGCTTTGCTTGTAGCTAACATTAGCAATTGCTATTGTACTACATTTGCTTCCTTGATTGTTGCTGGTAAAGGTCAATATGGCAAATTGGGTGACGCAAAAAAGCATTATATACATGTATGGATCATATTAAAACTCAAAACAGAACATTCAAAAATTTTGCAAACATAATTAGTGTTCAAGGACTTTGCATGGATTCTTACAGTGCCTAATCTTCATGTCTGAATTGCTGACGTTGCTTGTTTTAATTCTTTGAGGTTTGATGTGTTTCTGTTTTAAATGTATGAATTAATGCACACCCCTTTCCCCTGTATTCTTTGTCTCTATTTAGATATCACTCATAACATGGCCATCACACAGTTTCGCCTTTTTAAAATATGCACCTGCTTGGCATCTATTCTCTCATTCTTGAAAAGACTGATTTGTAGGTGAGTATACATCTCTTGTTCAATTGCTCGCATATTCATCTTGTAGATTGTCAGTCTGAAGCCTGTTGACATAGGAGGATCCTGAGATGAATGCATGTCCCTTACCGATGTGATGCTGTGGTAATGAGTTCCCTCTGCTATGCTGTTTTGACTGTTGTTGTTTGTTAATATAGGACTGGAAGGTCACGCAAGCTGAGTGGGGATCAGATCACCCTCCCGACCACAGTTGATTATTCCTCTGCATCAAAACAGGTTAAAAAATGCATCATGCTGGAGATTGTGTCATGAATATTTACAATAATCATTGCTTAAGAAATGGATCATAAGAAAAATACTTTGCATTGAGAAAGTAAAATTTTTTAGGGCAAATTCATACAATACATTTTCAAAATAAAAATACATTGTCTCAATTTTTTTTTTAAATAAATTCTGTTCTTTTGAACTTACTATTTATCAAAGAATACTGCAAAAAAATGTATCACAGTTTCCACCGAAATAATAAGAAATATATTTTTTATGAGCAACAGACTCATAAAATATGACTGAACACTGGAGTACTGGCTGCTGAAAATTATATTAAAATATAAAACAGTTAACAATATTTCAAAGTATATATATTTTTTACTGTATTATTGATCAAATAAATACTTTGTGTAGGAAGCGTAGGAGACTTCTTTCAAAAATATTACAAAATTGTCTAGAAAATAATGTCCTGGACTTTATAGTGGCAAAAAAATGGTTGTACAATTTTGCTCATCTTAATTTTTGTTTTTATTTTAGGGGAAAATATGTTTCTTGACAGATTTTGTGAGATTTACCTCAATACCAAATTAAGAAACTATATGCTTTTTTATATTATATTTATTATGTTTAAGAATAGATATGAACATAATGCCATTAGCATCAGAAGCCGCATTTTTCACAATTTCATAGTGTATGTAAATTGAGTATTCCTCTATATAATATATAATGTATAATGAAAGAGCTTTTTGAAACCGAGCATGTCCGAGTGGTTAAATTGTCATGGAGGTCCTTCACAAAAAGAAGCCACACATTTTTATGCATCAATGAGAATAACAAAAATAAAGCACACTTTCACTTAGAAATAAACTGGACAGATGACTATTACTACTATTGGCCTTTGCTTGATGAAATGAGTGAATGTTTGTTGTATAATTCAATTCAGCCAGAGATTGAGGAGTGGAGCTCATGGGACGAGGAAGCTCCAACAAGTATTAAAATTGAAGGTGGCAACGGGATAGTTCCACCTCCACAGAATGAAGCTGAAGGAGAAGAGCCAGACTACTTCAAAGACATGGCTCCCACCATCAGGAAAACACAAAAAGTAGGTTGATTATTAGGAGGGGTTACATCTGCTGCTGGTTCATTGTTATTTATTTATTTCTCTCTATCTTCTGTCCTAGTTTTTTATTTTATTCTGTCCGGTAGTTTTATATTTTATGTTTTTACATCCTAGTAACTCGCCTTCTCTTGCTTTCTCTCTTAAAAACAAGAAAAACAGAACATTTTTTTTAACAATTTATTTCTTTAGTTAGGGCGAGTGGAAATTAAATTATATTGAAATGAGAGACTTTTATAGTTTCATGTGAAAAATTCAAGAAATTCTTTTGGTTTTGGGAATAACAGTTTTCACCTTGTGATGAAAAAAGGGCCAAATATTGTTAAAGCACTAGTGCAGTTTTAGTGCTGACCTTCTCATTCCCATTTTTGTGTAATGTGCAATATCATTCAAAAGTTTGGAGTAAAATGTTTATTTAGCAAGGCTGCAATAGATTGTTCAAAAGTGATATTAAAGACATCAAATTTATTTCATCAAAGGAGGCTTAAAAATGTCTCACCATTTTCAACATTAATAATAATTAGAAAAAGAAAAAAATAATTGCCATTTTGTGCTCTTTTTCCAGATTGTCTTGAAGAAAAGGGAACCTCTGAATTTCTCTATGCCAGACAGCTCCTCAGGTTTCTCCAGCCGACTAGCCGCCACTCAGGACATGTCCTTCATCCAGCCCTCTGTGAGTGATACAGTGTAACAGTGATAATCATTCATTCATTCATCACACTGTTGCGACTGTGAGGCCAATCAACACTAGATCAACAACAAAAAAAAAGATTTATTGGGAGTCCTCCAATTGATATGATGCTCAGTAAACACAATGTCTCTTTGTGCTGCAGGCGGAGCTGGGGGACCTGGACACCTGGCAGGAGGACACCAATGCCTGGGAGGATGAGGCAGAAGCAGCCTGGGAGACAGAGGAAGTGCTGAGGTAAGCTACCTTACCAGCTGACTACGAGGTGGTCCTGTGCAACATAAAAATGTTTCTGGTTCTGCAGACCTGCCAACCTGTACACATTTTGTGTAGTGCTTACGCATTTTGACCACTAAGTACGCTGGCACCATTTGCCACTCTAAACTACACCAAAACCTGGTGACGCCTCTGTCCATGCACAAGACTCAAAACAAGCAACATAAAAAGATGAAGAGTTCAACCAATCAACTTTTTTTGGGTTTTGCATTTCAATAATTTCCATGCGTTTTATTTTTTTCTATACTCTAATAAAGGCTATGTTGATTAGCAGTAGATTATAAATATACTTAATTATTATAAAAATACCTGAGGTAGTTGTAAGAACACAGATAAACTATACATTGTCGCAGTCAAGTGTTTGTTGTCTTAATGTTCTCTTTGAATGTCATTATGCAAAGCATTTCTATCTTCTTTTATTCAGTTACAGCGATAGCTGGATGCTTTTGTCCATACTAGGGATTTCCTGAAGCGTCATCAGTTCTATTACTTCTTTGACGCATACGTGGATTTTCTGCATCCAGTATGAATGAAACGGGCATTACATGTGTTTATAGCACTAAATAATGGCCAATCCATAAAAATAATACTATGAAGAAGACATATGATAATCCATGTTTTTCTACAGCATACAGAAGTGTACTGTAGTTTTAATTAAAGTGTACTAGAGTTTTTTTTTAAATAGCATTTAATAATCGCAAAAAATAACTCTGATGTGCCAAACCATCAGAACCAAACCGAAAACTGTGGTTAAAAAACCAAGGTATTTATTGAACCGTGAGGATACTGTATTGTTGCATCCCTACTGTTTAGTTTACTCTAAAATACGGTATAACAGGAATATCATAAACTTGAGTGCAGACCCTAAGCACTAACCTATGAAAAATATTTAACATTGTACCCCCGCCACATTGATGGTACTCAAAAAAAATGTCCAAGGTCGGCAGGTCTGGTTCTCTTTGTTTCCCTTGATAACTGCAATATTAAATCACTTAAGTTATTTAAATCAATACAGGTATATATATTTATATGTATTCCACTTCACTGCAGTCATAAAATCCAGGTTTGATTTTTCTCTCTCTCTCTTTTTTTTATTTTTTATATTGGTGTCTGTTGAACGGATTTAAACATATTAAACACATGTTACAAGCAACATGTTACATATTTTGTAACTGGTATGATGATGATGTGATGTGTATATGTCAGAGGTTTAAATTCTGTAGAAATCAGCTGAGCAGATTCTGTGATGGTCTGGTAATAATTGAACTCAAAATATTTAGAGGAAGAATATGGTGGTTTTCTGATTTTGTCCACTAGGTGTCAATGTACAAGCACAGTTGTTTTCAACCTCCACTGCTTTGTGCCAGATCTTGATTAAAGGGATAGTTCACTAGAAATTCTGTCATCATTTACTCACCCTTGTGTCATTCCAAAGCTGTGTGCATTTTTTTTTCTGTGGTACATAAAAGACAATATTAGGAAGAATCTTGATAACAATTTCAGTTCTATCATTGTGTGGATAAAAATACAATGGAAGTACTGAGCTGTTTGGAGGGACAAGAAGGTGAGTAAATGATGACAGAATTGTAATTTCTGAGAGTGCTATTTTACTTTGATCTAACATATATCACATCATATTTGAAAGAGTATGATTTTTGAGTGTATTTACTGACCGCATACAATAAAGCAGATTATTGATTTTCAAAACAAATATCTCTTTAAACTTATCATAAATGCAATGAAATTGATCTTTCTTTGTCTATCGTGAATACAGGCAGCAGAAGCTGGCTGAGAGAGAGAGACGTGCAATGGAGCAACAGCGGAAGAAAATGGAGAAAGAGGCACAGAGAATGATGAAAAAAGAGCAGAAGATTGCCGTCAAGCTTTCATAACATTAATACAGCGCACCGGACACTCAAAGCAACAGCCAAACAACTGCTCATATTACATTTTACCTGGTTTTGTCCTGCCCGCCACACTGCTGTCCTCACCTCTTTGGGATATTTTTTTTTTAGTCCATCAGCCATCTTGGGGAATTTTTGTTTGTTTGTTTGTTTATTTCTTCAGGGTTTCTTTTTGTATTGGACTGAACACAGCACAAAGAATCGTCCCTTTTGTTTATTTTTGAGTTATTGTGACTGTTCTTACCGTGCACTCGATTGAAAGACAAAACTAAATGTTTTTGTCTTTCAGTATTTATAACACTTGAATGATTTTGTCAAGAAAAATTTTAGATAAGGAATTCCGTTCATTTTTGGTTTTGCTTTTTTGCCTTTTTCTTCATCAAAAGTCTTGTGTCTGTGTTTTAAACACAGAAATGGGTGATATCTCAATATTTCAAAAGAATCAAATTTATGCAACCTTGGGTTTTTGCTCTCCACATTCTATTTAGCCGTCTATCTAATCTGTTGCCATTCTGTTTACCTGGTAATCATGGGCTTAATTGTGAATAATCCTTATATTTTGATCTTGATTTTTCTAAAGACAACAATTTGAGTCATCTGTGTAATTGTCAGTGGGAATGGAGAGCAGAGATATTCAGTATGTACTGAGGCTCGAAGAGAGCGCTTTTAAGAGATGTGGGTTGGTCGTCATGGAAACGCTGACATTTTTAAAATATCCAAATTGGCAACCAAACCATCTTTTATCTTTAGTAAGACTGTGAAGAGCATTCACTGTTTATTTGAAAGCAATTTCACCAGGGGAACCTCTTGTCTTTAGCTATTATAGAATTTCTTATCTCTTGAAAATGTCTAAATTGATCATGTTTATTGATAGAATGAGGAGGATGATGGTGATGCTGAAATTAACTTCTGCATGCTATGATGATTATTAAGGAACATGAAGCCATGAGAGCCACAGGTACATATGACAATGAAAAACTGAATAAAATCACACCTTTTGCTATGATTTATGTTTCCCATTCATGCATGCTCATGCCTTTTTAAGTTGTTTTACATTTTTTCACAGTGCAGCCTTAGCTGTAATAAACATTTCGGTTATCTGTTCAATGGTTTATCTTTATTCAGAGGCTTTCAGAGTCTTCTACTGTCATTTCTTCACCAAAAAACATGCTCATCGTGCCGTGGTAAAGATGACGTCTTTGGGTCTCTGAACATAATCAGCAATACTAGACTTTATTTGATCTGTTTGTACTCCGACTGTTAAGATGTTCAATCAGCATCATAAAGCTGAATACATGTGCTATCATTTGTGATATTCAAGGTTAGATGCATTGTCCGGACCGGTGGAATATTCCAGCTCTGAGAATGTGATGTCATAATCCCCATCTGCCTCAGCAACGCCCCCGGCAGCACTTCCACAGCCTGACCCACTTAGACTGAGAGAGGAACATAAACTCTGACTGAATTATACATTACATGCTGTCTTCTTCAGCTATGTGCATCTTCATCACACCTGACTTTATGGTTTTCACATGAGTTGTCTCAAGATTTTTGGACCATGTTCATTAAATAAAATGTATATAAGCACTGTTCAAAGATTTTATGCACTGGGGGAGGGGGGACCTCAGCAAAATCATATTAAAACATTTACAATACATAGTCTGGAACAGAGTAAATAGATACAGTAACTGTAGTGTCCAACTGGGCTAACAGTACATAACAGCAAGCATTTGCTCAGTCTTGCCATTTCATGCGTGCAAGGTTGCTTGTTATGCAATAGTCAAGTCCCATCTGGTAGCACATGTACTGTGTTTCTCAAGTGGCCCAGGGGTCTATGCTTGCTGTGTAATGGTTGCTTTAATCTCAGCTTCTGAATATAGCAGCACTGAGGTTCATATACTCCATATATTTTGTATTATATAAAATGTTTTTGGGTTCTTGTGCATGTGTGTGTGTGTGTTTGGGTACCCAGCAGGTCCATTAAAGAAGCATTAATTAACAACAGCATTAACATATTAAAGTTTAAACATCTCTGTTTCATCAGTGACGTGCACTTTTATGGTGGGTTAGGCTCCCGTTCTTATTTGCATATGGTAAGTGTTCACATAAGGCTCTAGCATTAGGCATCCTCAGGTAATATTAACTACTACTATCAGCTTTTCATTCATATAAATGTAAGAATTAAATGATGACGCGTTTTCCGTCACTATTTGACATTGTTCTCCTCAACAGCCGATACTGTTTACAACACGAAGTGTTTTTGTGACTGTTCAAAGCACATGAACGAGACTCGAGATTGGGTGTCCGTGTCATCTATTCGTAATATTCCAACACCTAAATGTCGTTTCACACTGAACCGCAACACGGGGTTAACTCCACTTCTGAATTATTGGTGTGAAAAATTCCACTGCCTGGGTTTAGAAGCGGGATTTAGAAACAAGATAACCAGTGTGAAAAACCCTCAAAATGTCTGTAATTTCCACTAAGGATGTAATGTCAAATTATGCAAAAAGTGTGAAGTTATTTTTTAATTAGAAATATTAATAGTTTTAAATTTTTATTTTACTAATATTTAAAATGTAATTTCCATCACAAAATGTTAAATAATGGTGTAGATTAAACTACAGGTACTTGTACACTTACCTATTTTCTGGCTTGGTGAAATACTGCTTCATAAACAAGTAGCTGTTCAAAGAAACTTAATCTTGTGGAGAGCAAAGAATTAAATTGTATTAATCTAGGATTAAAGCTTCAGGATTAAAGATTAAGGCTCACTTTACTGATTTAACTCACTTTGCTTGGCACATCACAACATTAAACCTTTTCGTAAAACAACACCTTCTATAATGGGTTCGTGGAGATTTTTTGTACATCTATTTTATTAATACGAGATATACCTGAAAAGCAGGCCCAGATGAAATCTACAGACTGTTTTTCATTTTCAGCACTAATTTAATGGGCAAATCTTTACTCCTTACAAAAATACTCTACTTCTATTGGTAGCTGAAAGCATTAGCAAATTATCCAAAATGTTTAATCGGCAGGATTGCAGAAATGGTGAAGGATTTGTATCACTTTGTAAATGTCATTCATTCAAAGTCTTTAGAGCTTTTTGCGGACACTGATTTAGTGGTGTCCTAAACAAGTAATACAAGTTTAGAAATCATGCAATACGTTGCAATAACACACAAAAATCCAAGCTTGGAGGGGTTTTCCATGCTTTAATAATAAATATAATGATATACATCTGATATAAACAAAAATATTGCACATAGCTCAGGCACATAACAAGTGTTCGCTGTACTGTTGCAAGTGCTGCCTTTCAGGAAATTGTTAGTTTACAGAGCAACATGTAAAAGCTCCAACGCCAGGGAGAGAAATACAGTTTCACTTAAAACGCTGAACACATTTAAGCTTTGGCAGAAGGTTTTAGTTCTTTTGGAACACAAGTGACATTTTAACTACAACAAAAACAACGGTCAACTGACAGTCAACCCCTATTGCTACTCTAAATAACTCTTTTATAAAAAGCAGGGAATAGCAGTCAGCAAAGAACAAGACTTGAGCAACATAATCGCCCACCCAGATGATCAGATTATGCAAAAATATTTATATATACACAAACATAAGGGCAATAAATAACAAAAAAAGAAAAAACAAGTTCCTTTACATCCCCTTAATTTCATCCTTTGTGCCTCAAAAATACACAGTGCAAAGTAGGAATGTTGCAACTAAACGGAAAATAAGTGTACGCATATAATCACAGGTGTACAAAAACAAAATTTCTACTTGAAGATGACATTTAAGTGCTCTTGCTGTAACTGTGGGTGAGGGCCACTAAGTGTCTGGCCCGTGAGAGACTTGGCGGAGTGAGTGCAATCCCACAATGCAACAGCCTCGAATTAAAGCTGCTATGTTGTACACAGGAGCCCCTCCGACCAAACCGTGCTGCGAGTAGAGCCACGCCACGGTGGGCAGAACGGGTGCTGCCACAGCAACCAGATCGACCAAGAAGTTGTTGCTCCAGTGGCTTTTTCCCACCACTGCCATGCTAGAGGTGTTCTTGGGAATCATCATGTCGAAATTCAGCTCTTCCATGAACTGGGGACTCATTTTGGGCTCGGAAAAGCCCAGACCAGAATCATTAACGGTGTTTTGGGCAGGGTTGGTGCAAATTGGGCCAACATCTTTGACTTCTTCATCTTGTGCTTCAGGTAGCTCCTCCTTCTTTATGGGTGTTTGTGCTTCAGGCAAGTCCTCAACCTTTTTGGGAACTCGTGCTGAAGGTGATTCCTGCGATTGGTGGGGAGAAGAAATAAGGAGACCAGGGAAGCTGCCACCTTGGAGCTTTAGCAGCTGGAAAAGGAGGGCTTGGAAATCAGCGGTGTAGATCATCTCATCAGTCTGGACACCTTTATCTTCTGCACCAAAGGGGTCGCTAGAGAAAAGCTCCTCTGTGCTCTTTTCCGAGACACTCGGCTCCAAGGTGGACAGCCCTGGTTGAGGAATGATCTTAGTGCCACCGTCCTGGCTGGAATCAACCGCAGTGGACATGAGAACCTTCTCGAGAATTTCAGCTCTGTTGGCCATCTCGTCATTGGCCAGCAGCTCACTATCAGCCATCTCCTCCACTGCTTGTTCTTCACCATGTAGCTCCATCTCGAACTTGACTGCAGTGGATCTTTCTGGAGACTCACAGATAAAGTCCAGCGTGGGCTCATCCTGCAAGTCGCAGCCATTCTGTGCCAACTCCATGCTGTGGAGCAAGGACTCCAGCTTTCGGTTTTGGATGTTTATGTCAATGAAATACTTCTGGATGCCCTTGTCCTTCTCCATGAGGCTGTTCTTCATGGTTTCCACCACTTGGCGCAACTGCTTGATCTCTTTGCGTGCTTCTTTGAGAGCTAGCTGAGCTTCCACACGGTGACATTCCTCCTCTATCCAGTCCTCCCGCATACGCCCCAGTTGGGACTTCAGCTCCTCAATCTCAGCCTCCCTGAAACCCATCAGTGTGGAAAATGTACCATGTGATATCAGTTTGCAAATTGTGTCAAAGCTCTTGAGGGAACTGCAATTCAGTAATGCATTACTGCAAGTATTTGAAAGCAGACTCTTACCGGTCACAAACTGTGTTCTGTGAGTCTTTGAGTTTTGTCTTGAGGTGTCGTATGGCTACCTCTTTCTGCTGTAGAGGGGTAAGGTACTGCTCTGGATTGGGAGGCTTGATGCCATGATGGTCTCCACAGGAATGGTAGCATACAGGAGTGGTTCTTCTGAAAGTTAAAAGCAAGCTTTTTTAAATTTGATGCAAGCATGCTAATATGAAAGCTACAACAAGAGCTGAAGTAATGAACTTTATGGCCTGTTGTCTGTAACAAGTTAATAGCTATGTTTCCATCACCCTGTTTTTATGTGCAATTTGAAGTATTGCATCAGAAACAAGTGAGGGAAATGCCAAATTTCGAAAAGAAAAAAAAAATCCCTTAATTCGCAAAAAAAGTTTTTACGCTCGCTCGAGGTGGTTTTTGACGTGAGAAAAAGGGTTAATGCGAATAATGGGAGATGGAAACATTTTGCGAATCAATTCCTCCATGTGCATCAAAAGTCACGTGACTTTGTGCAATGGGATGGTATAACCTGACTAAACAGTAGACCGATCTGCATCTCAAATGTTATGATCATTCTGAAATGCCCGAGCAAAGTCTTTAATCAAAGTATTTCTGTATAATTGCCTGCCAGAACTACTTACACTGCGCATTTATTGTGTTTCGTCTTGAGGTGCAAGTAATTTATTATATAAGAAAATTATTCTTCTCCTACTTTTCTTAGTGATATTTAGTGCCAGTTTATCAGGAAGTGACGATTTTGTTCTCTTTGGCTCCTTGGATGGAAACGGTGCTTATTCGCAAATGTTTTATGCAATACTCGGTTTTATGTAATTTTGCACATAAGTTAAATTCGCAACTTTGGATGGAAACCCAGCTACTGTTTCCATCCAAATGCAAAAGCTAAAAGCTTTACAAATATGAAAAACCTCATATTACACAAGTCACCATAACTGCCCTTTATTTGGTCCATTAAATTTTGTTTAGGTCAATAGTTTTCAA